TGTGTGTGTGTGTGTGTGTGTGTGTGTGTGTGTGTGTGTGTGTGTGTAGAGTACAGGTGTACCACAGGGGCGCGTGCACTAATGAATGTATGGTGGGGCCAGAGGTCAACTGGATGCCACTCCTTAGAAGCTAGAGCCAGGCAACTTGTGTTTTTTGAAGCAGGGTCTCTCCCTGGGGTCTGAAGCTGCCGGCTCAGCTAGGCTGGATGGACAGGAAGCTGCCTGTCTGGCCAGGGCAGGGTCACAAATGCATGCATACCATCACGCCTCACTTTTTCACATGGGTTCAGAGGTTCAAGCAAAGATCCCCATTCCTGCATGGCAAGTACTTTACCAACCGGGCTTTTCCCCCAGCCCCTACAATTACAGTTTTAAAAGGCACTAACTAATCTAAGTTTGTTTGGAACAAAACAGAACTCTTGTGTAGGCTGAGGGAAGCTGGTCTCTGGTCCAGGGGTCTGTGGCTTGTACATTGAAGACAGGTGGATCTGTGGTGAGCTAGGGTTGACCCCCGGCTTTGCACAATCACTTAACCTCATGTCTTCATCTGTAAAATGGGAATAGTCAGACCATGTCTAGGAGTTGCTACAAGAGACAATGGAAATGAGTAGAGCTGAAGAGCACTTGGCACATGACTCAAGCGCTTGACTAAAACATCAGTTTCTCTCATCTCACTTTTACCATCACACCGTGCTTTTTTCCCCCAGCTTTGCCACAAAGACCCTGTACCAAGTCAGGCTCCATTTCTGGGCACCTGGGTGGACCTTCCATCCTAGGCTGGTTTCCACCCAAGTTGCAAGCTTAACCCTGACCCAAAGAGGAGGCAAAAGACAAAGAGGAACCAGCCCCTCAAAGAATCCTGCTCTCTGCTGAGGCCATTATGCTTATGGAGCCCAAAGAACTCAGTCGGTCATAATGTTATGTAGTAGCTTCCCGCTGCTGATAGGAAAGTTCTGCAGAGGTAGGGAAGAGAAACACTTAAGCCACATAAGGCAAATGCTAAACCATCCAACGATGTACGCTTTGTGAAGCTTTTAAATAACAAACGTCCAGTTCACGCAGACAGTGCCTCGAGATAACACATGACAATTTGAATAGTTTGACGTGCTGCAGGTACTGGCAAAGAATTTACCCCAGGCGCTTAGACCAGTCCCAGGGGCGAGCAGAAACTTCCAGATAGTTGCCCAACATCTGGGATACTACAATCTCTGTCTGGCCGACGTCAGCCAGAAGACACAGCCATCTGAGCTGGGCTCAAAATTCTTATCTCTGAGACCCACGCTCTCCCCGTGGCGGGCTAAACTTGGGAGGCTCGCTCCCCGATCTGCCTGAGGCTGCCAGCCCCGCAGTGCCCGGCCCGGGGGAACCGCGCAGCGCCGCCGCCGCTCACCTTCAGGTCGCTCACTAGCTGCTGCATGGGACTCAGGTACATGTAAGGCACGCCGCTACCTGCGCCCGGGGGACCGTCACTGAAGGAGATGACGTCCGCGAACGGCCTGCCGCGCACCGCCTCCAGCGTGGAGATGGTGGCCAGCGCGCCCCAGTCCGAGACGTGCGTCACGAAGCGGGCCACGCGCGGCGCGTCTTCCCGGGGTGGCAGCGGGGGCAGTCGCCCGTCCGCGTCCCAGTCCCCGTGGCCCCGGCCTCCGCGACCCCAGGCCGGCGACACCAGTAGTGCCACCAGCACTGGCGCTAGCAGGGCGACGACCACGGAGCGCGCGGGCCCAGGAGCGCGAGCAGCCATGGCGCTGTGTGCTCAGTCCCTGCCCCTGGACCTAACTTTGCCGGGGTTATTGGAGTTCGTCGGGGCCCCGCCCCTCCGAGCGGGCCAATCAGAGACTAACAGGCTGGGGGCGTGGCCCCAGCGCAGCCGGGTTTCCACACCCAACAGCGCTAGCCGCTGGGTCACGTGCTCTGATCTTTAAAGATTGCGAATTTTCTCTAAAGAGAGACTTGTTCTGTTTGTTTTACTTATAGGGCGATAAGCGAGGTCTAGACGAAATTAAGCAACATGCCCGAGTCACGCTACTAGGAAAAGGCTGACTTCTTCACGCACGCATCGACGAAGTCTAAGAGAAAATGAGTTTTCTGTAAGCTCTTTTCTGCTTACTCCACGTTAGCAAGCAAGCCACCGTGTAGTAAAAAGCAGAAGTACCAATCAATGTGCAGGAACTTGCAAATCACTGGCCCAGCAGTGTCCTCAGATAAAGCCACTAAGAGACTGTAAGTTTTCAGTTTTCCCACTTAGGACTTTGGCCTTGCCATTTGGAGACCTGTTAAGTCGTCTAGCTTGGTTAAATTCGTGGTTTCGTGCATTTATTACCCTGGCAGATCCTCCGAGCCGTTCCAGTCTTCATCCTGCTGCTCTGGGGAGTTAGAGAATGTGCGCCAACGACCCGGCCCACATTTTTCATCATTTTAAACTTTGGCCACTGTTAGAACGTGTAAGTCCCATCCTGTGTTCTGAATCAGGCCACGCCTCCCCGCAGCCCTCGCTAGCAGAGTTCTGAAGCAGTCCCGCACAGTGACTTGACAGCTCTTCTTAGTTTATGGCGCCCAGCTTCTTATGACATAGGCCAGGCTGAACTAAATCATGGGATCTGAAACGTCCTGTCTCCTCTAGAAGCATATAAAAATCCTTCCCTTCATTCTAGGGATTGGTATGCGACTCCTATGAAAGACTGCTGGAAAGAAAATCTGAGGTCTGCCTCTAGCTGCCCCCCCATCCCTCTCTCCGTCTCTCTCTCTATCTCTCTCTTATCCAAATTCTTAATGAAGCACCTCTCCAGGCTTTAAGGGGAAGCCTCTCCTTCCATCCAGGTTCTATCAAGTTTAGATCTCCATAAATTTCATTGTTTGTGTCTCGTGCTGTACCTCCCATCCCCAGGCCCTGGATTCCTTTGCTTCCTTTGCTGACAGACTTTTGCTGTTCATCCTTTACGACAGCCGCATCTTTTCAGAATGTTAATCTTTTTCACCTGGCCTCAGGTGTATAAAGGGCTCTCGTAGGCCCGAGCATGGCAAATACGGCTCTAGCAAGCGTTGTCCTTCCCTCTTCCCTTCTCCTTACTAAACCACAGATTACATTCCTAAAGCTAGCCACCCAGGCCTGTTCCCTCATTTGGCCACTCCCTCCTCCTGGAGCTGACCACCGAGATCCAGAGATCAAAGTGTTGAAATCCAGCAATCAAAAGCTCCCTTTGGCTGCTCTAATTAACATCCCCAGTCAAAACAAACCAACTCATCCTACTGTGTGGTTTCCCCTTTCCCTTTTATAAACTGCCTGTTCCCGTGGACCACTTCTGTCTTCTCTCCATCCAGAGGCAGTCCTTTGTCCCTCCAAAGCAAATAGCCAACCTCCCCCCACCCTTTGTCCTTTTTCCTTCTTCCTCATCCTCTGTCTCCTGTTTTTGTGTCTTATTCCCTGCCCTTTGTGCCTCTGGAGCAAATAAATCCTCTTTGTGCTGAGAACGTGGTGTGTCCTGTGGCTGCCCCGGTCCTTCTAACATGTACTTCAATTGTTACAGAGGCCATCCGGTGGCACCATGTAAGAACTTGCCAGTGAAAATGTGGTGATACCTGGCCTTCTCAAGCTTCATTACGTGAAAGAAGCTGTTTCCTTTAGGGCTGTCAGGCAGTCATGTGGGCCAAGTGGGGGCTCACGTGCATGTAAGCCGTGTATGCAAGCCAAAGCCCACCTCCACTTCCTGTCTGAAGGCCACTCTCCCTACAGTCAGCCAGCTTCTGAGGCTACTCAGCAAAGCATGACCCTGCACCCTGAACCAGAGTCTGCATTCCCTCTGGTAGCCGGTCTGAGTCACACTGATTTTCACACCTAGCATCAACAACGTTCCCTCCAAGCTGATCTGCTTTTCAACCCGAGCTCAGAAGAACTTCGGGCTTTGTTGGGAAGCTAAGTAGGGGACGTCTGAGTAGAGGAGAGGCAGGTACTCACTTCTTAAAAAGTACTATTAACAGTTTGCGTGTTTGACTATTAGAAACTGCTCATCGTTAGAAACAATGTGTTAAGGAAAAGGTTCACACAGCTACATTCCAAGCTCAACTTGGACACTAGCATATCCAGTGCCCATGGGTCTTTGACCTCTGTTTTAGGTCTCAACTGTTCTCATTCAAAAGTAGGCATTGAAAGCTGGTCATGATGGCCCACACCTTTAATCCCAGCACTCGGAGGTCAGAGGCAGGTGGATCTCTGTGAGTTCAAGGCCACCCAGAGCTACCCAATGAGACCTTCTTGCTTTCCAGTCCCCTGCCTATAAGAGAAAGAAAACCAATTGTGTTAGCTGCTACCTTAGTCTTCCACCTTTATCCTTCGTTCTCCTGTGAGCATGCAAAACATGAGACTTCTTAAAGTTTCAGACTATACATTGTTTTTCAAGAGGTTAAGACACTTTTCCTTATTGGTATATCTCATATTACTGTCATCTAAAACAACAAGAGGTTCCTATTACGGGCCCCATTACAAAGAATGTGCTTAGATCTTGTTCTCACACTGTTAGAACAAGGTCTGCAAACCCTCCAGGAGCAAGTATGTGTCCACAGCTTTTATCCTTGTACTTGCTGTCCCCTGACACATGTCCTTCTCCCATCTAGACCTCAGAGAGTAAGATGTTTCTCTGTGAAGAAACCCTAGACCCACGCTTCTTTTATATTTACTTATTTCCTGTGAGTGAGTGTGTGTGTGTGTGTGTGTGTGTGTGTGTGTGTGTTACCCTCGGGCCAGAAATGAGCCTCAGAGGCCTTGGAACTACAGTTGCAGATAGTTCTGAGGCACCATTTCCTGGGTGAGGCACCCAGGAAACCCAACCTGGGTCCTCTGCAGGAGCAGCCATCTCTCTGGTCCCCAAAACCCAGCTTTGTAAACTGGTTCATGACCATATATGAGACAATGTAACTCAATGTGGTGATCCTGAAAAGTCTGACAATAGTAAAATTAATTGAAAATCAAGCTTATAAATAAATGTGCGGCCTCCTTGGTAGTGCTTGTCTGTGTCGCATCGAGACTTCCTTGTAGCCTTGGTTTGAAGCATGTAACGTGCTCTTTGCGCTCAAAGCATGAGCCATCATAACTCCCACAAACACTGCTTGAAACACCTCGGCTCAGATGGCAGCTATTACATGCTGAAACTGCAGTGTTTTTTAACAGATGGACAGTTTTTTTCCTCTTACACAGAAAGTGGTTTGATGATAAAAAAAATATATATATATATATTTATATATATATAAATATATATAAATATATAAATATATATATATATTTCTTTCCTTCTCGCTTTCTTTTTTCTGGTTTTATTCGAGACAAGGTTTCTCTGTGTAGCCTTGGTTGTCCTGGACTCACTTTGTAGACCAGGCTGGCCTCGAACTCCACCTGCCTCTGCCTCCCAGATCGCTGGGATCACAAGTGTTCACCACCACACCCAGCTTCTGAAAACAGATTTATTAACCATTGTTCTTTATCAAATAAAATTAATGTGACTTTGGATTGTTTTGTGTTATAATGTTTGACTTTAGAAATTGCTATTTGAGTTGCTTGAGTTTTGTTTAAAATTCGTTCAGTGAACTTGGGTTTGGGATTAGGATGGAATCGTTTCTGAAATGGCTTAAGCTTACTTCCGCCATTGTGTGTGACAATGCATGTGAAGAGGGATTCTCATCATTGTCTACTATAAAGCCAAAATGTTAATCAGTTCTGAAAAAATGCCCCATTATACTCTACCTGCATATCAAATATTCACCCCAAATATATATAAATTTTTTGAGAGAAGACTCGCCTCAAACTCACTCTTGACCCTTCTGCCTCTGTTCCCCAGGTGCTATGCTGGGTCCATGCACATGCGCACACACACACACACACACACACACACACACAAATCAATACTTTATCATTTATTGACAGTAGAAATCTTATTTGTGTACCTATTTTATATAACTATATGCCTGAGGTCATGTAAAAATTTTCTCAGGTGAAAAGAGACTGTGAGTGAAAAGAAATTTAAGAAGCCCTGCCTTGGGCCAGGCATGGTGGCAAGTATCTTTAATTATACCACTTGGGAGGCAGAGGCACGTGGTTCTCTGTGAGGTCATGGCCAGCCAGGGCTGTAGAGTGAGACCACTGTCTGAACACACACAAACGAATAAACAGAATTTAAAGGCCCTGCCTTGCACCACTCTTTCTGAGAGGATTTCCCCAATTGCCCTTCATCAGACAGTCTTGTCTTTTTCATAACTGTCACCACACCCTGTGATAGCTGTGTTTGTTTATTTATTTAGTGGCTTCTTCACTGTCCACCTCTAGAAGGAGTGCTCCTGGAAGGCAGGAATGCTGTCTGTCTTGTCCACCTCCATATCCCCCCTGAGCAGAGTGGGTGATCAAGAAATTGTTGTCAAATGACTAACTTGACTTAATGAATGACAGCTGGTGGAATTCTCTACACACAGAGCTGTGCCAAATCAGCGAGGAGGTGTGGGCCTAAGCACGTCATAGCAGCTGAGTGCTTTAGCTCTTAACCAGCAAATGCTCCTTGTTGGGATCTTGGGGAAACTCCCAGCCAACATGGCTGAAAATCATTTAGGATCCTCCTGCTGCTGCTTCTCACTCTTTGAGCAACCCAGATTGATTCCTATCCCCAATGGCTCCTAAAACAGTTATCTTCCCTTCCTGACTGGGCTTCATCCTGCTGAGAAGCCCACCTTGCAAACTCTCTCCTTCTCAAGCCATTTCTATTGTGTAGTTGTGTTGCTAGGTGTGGTTTCTTCTAGATC